TTTGTATTATTTCATCATGTATATTATTAGTAACATTAAGTTTCTTGAACATTCCAGAGTGGTCAACATGTTCGGTCATTTTTCTAGAACATTCTTGAACTTTGTGCATGTCCAGAACTTTCCAGTAATATCATGTATTTACAATTTCTAGAATATTCTAGATTTATATTACTGTATAAATACCCTGTCAATTCGATGCAGAGAATAGAATTGTCGTATAAGCATCATTGAGGTATTACTGGGATATAATTTCACTGGGACATTGTGTGCAGCAACGGACACTCTGATGTATGTATTTTTAGATTTTTGCTAAGTTTGTACTTAATGATTTGTATATTACTGTAAATAAATTATTGTTAAGTTTAAACTGTGTGATTGATCTTTGCTGGCATTTAGGGTTATTCTGACCCATAACAGAATTGGGGGCTGTTTGCTTTTAATTGAGTGTTAACTTTTCCTAAGGTCTGAATAATATCTTTTCTAAAGTAAGACAACGAACAGATTTCTTAATTTGTCTATCATGGAATTAACTCTGAATTATTTCTCATTTTCATGTTTCTTGATTTCCCCAATCTTTTTCAATTTACAAACCTATTGGACCTATCCAGTATTGATAAAGGTGAAGTTAAAAAGTTATATCCTTATAATATGAGTATTAATTCAACTCTATTTCAGCTCTTGTAGTTGTAGTCAATGGGGGCTGGAGTGACTGGAGCCTTTGGAGCCATTGTTCTGGGACGTGTGGCAGAGGAACGATGACACGACAAAGAACTTGTACAAGTCCTAGGCCTGCTCATGGCGGTGCCAGCTGTGTTGGAACAACTATAGAAACAAAAAGCTGTAGAACTTATCACCACTGTCCAAGTAAGAAGCTCCCTCTCCCTCTTTCTTGTGAAATCACTACTTTTCGTGAGAATTAAATTTTCGTTTTCGAGGTATGGAGAGACCTTCGAATTTACGGCCACCTCAAAATATGAGATTTCACAAGTATTACTACTCAACTTTTCCAAAATCTCAAAATCAAATCCCAAACTGAAATATATGTAATTTTACCGTATATTAATACCAACTTTCTGAAATTCGGAAAGTAACGCTTCAAGATTGTTGGCATATAAATGAAAATATTTTTAAAAATTGTTGAGCATGCTCTTGCGCAATTAATCAACTGAACGATATAAACTACATATGTTGGTGTGATAAGAAGACATTGCTACATAAGTAGTGATAGTTGAAGATTGAAATTGAAGGCATCACTTTTATCAACATATTGTAAGGTTATCGTTAGGTTAACATTAACGTCTTTTTAGTGAAATACACATGTATAAAAATACGATTTAATTTAAGTTGTAACACGTCATATGATTGGATTAATGATTTATTTTATATTGTATAACATAAGTTGTCTATGTCAAAATGAGTTACGTCAAAAACGCATTACTCCGCTTGACTTTAATTTTAAAATACTAGTATGTTTAATATGAGGGGGACGATAAAAGGTTTCAATAAGAAGGCGTGGGAAAGGTGACAATTGATTTTGGACTCGATAAGCTCCCAATTGACGTTTATTATGGTTGTAAAACTTTGATTTTTATTTGAAACAAAAGACATTCTACTGTTTTGGTAAAACATAGATTCTTTTGCCTGTCTTGTATATATTGAGTGTTAACTTTTCCTAAGGTCTGCATAATAAATGTGGTGTTATCTTTTCTAAAGTAAGACAGCACGCAGATTCCTTTGGGTGACATGGAATTAACTCTGAAGTATTTCTCATTTTCATGTTTCTTGATTTCCCTGATCTTTTCCAATCTACACATCTAATTGGGCCTACCCAGTGTTGATGAAAATGAAGTTAAAAAGTCGTTTTCCTATAATTTGAGAAATAATCCAACTCTAGTTCAAATCTGTTCCACATATAAAGGAAATGCCTTTCTTAATGATCTATGTCGAATTATAGCAGATGTTACTTTGCTAAGTGTTACTTTTGCTTTTACAGGGATTGCATCCTTGCAATTTCAGGGATTTGAGAAACACGTTGTCGTTGAACCATTGGCAAATTTCATTTGATATTTTAGGGCGTACATGTACTTCGCTCATTGAGAGGCACCAATCAAATAAAAGTCCATCAATAGTTAGATAAACAGAAAAGATTAGTTGACCCCTCAAAAATGCACCTTTTACAAGCTGTTATCATAGAAAGATTGCCTTAATATGATTGATTGAGAGAGAGAAAAGAAAAAACTATCAAAATTTATAATTTTTTCGAAAGATATCTTTGCAGTTAGCCCATGAGCCTTAAGTGTAATTTGTCAGGGGTCCAACGGCAATGTGTTGCCTCGGGACCCCTGGCATTGCAAGGATACAACGATTGGTGCGTTTGGGTTTTTTTTTGTGTGTAGTAGTCGATGGGGGCTGGAGTAACTGGAACCTTTGGAGCCATTGTTCTGGGAACTGTGGCAGAGGAACGATGACACGACAAAGAACTTGTACAAATCCCAGCCCAGCTCATGGCGGTGCCAGCTGTGTTGGAACATCTACAGAAACAAAAAGCTGTAGAACTTATCACCGCTGTCCAAGTAAGAAGTTTCAACCTATGCATCCATCCATTTATCCATCCATCTTTCTTTCGTTCCTGACTCTCAAAACAAATATAACTTCATACGATGTAACTAATAACTCTTCAGTATATCATAATTAAACAGTTAAGAGAGACAGATTTATATTTATCTAAAATAACTGAGGAAAGCACATTATATTTAATGTATTTTAATCTAGGTTGGAATCAGTGGGGATTTTATGATTCTTGCATTTTAATAAATGGTCGTAGAAAAGAGATAATTATAAAACCACGATCAAGTGGTGTTTAAGCCAATGGAAACATTTTAGGCATTTTGCAGGCATTGTAATAAAACAAAAATTCTTCTAAATGGCTCTAAAGCTCATCTAAGTCATATTCATATTGAAGTTTTCCAATTTTGTGTGGATACGGAAAAGCTTTTAGGTAGGACAGAGGTAAAGTGGGAGCAAAGATGGGCTCATAGTTTTGTAAAAATCGTTAAAAATTTTCTAACGAAGAACATTTCTTAATTAATTAAGACAAGGGTTATGTCTCACGTTCTCTTCTCTTTAATTAAATTTTCCCATTTGTTTTTCATTTTTATATGTGTATTTTATGGACTGAGAAACTTAAAAAATAAAATCTCTTATACTTTTACACGATGAAACCCTAAGTAACCTTGTTTGGATCCTTGGATTGCAGCCAGTGGTGGCTGGAGTCAGTGGAGCCCGTTTAGCCACTGTTCCAATACTTGTGGAGATGGGAGGAAGTACAGAACAAGGACGTGTTCTAACCCTAGACCTGTCAACGGAGGCGCAGATTGTGTTGGTCTGTCGTCCGAGTCCATCGCCTGTAGACATCGTCGTCAATGTCCAGGTGAGAAAGATATAGCTATATCACTCTTTTTAACAAGGAAAAAAGGTGTGTTTTGTGATTAAGTCTTGTTTCCGTTGTTGTTTTGTGAAAAGATAGAGCTGAGTACTGGACTCCTTGCTAATGCAATGACATATACTGTGTAAAATATTTTCAATTTTTGAAGGATTTAGAATCTTATTCAGGTTTCAATCGGTGATGAAGAACCTCTTTTTGACGAAACCCCTGATACGGGTAAAGAAATACGATAGTATACCAAACGCAAACAAAGCAATGTGTCTTAACATTAAAGGAATAAATAACGTGTTACTTTAAATGCAGTTGACGGCCAATGGAGTAGTTGGAGTCCATACAGTACTTGCAGTACGACTTGTGGATATGGTACAACAATACGATACAGGTCTTGTTCGAATCCAGCGCCATTACATCGAGGAAAGTCGTGTTATGGGAGTACTTCAGAGAAGAAACCGTGTTACATTGCTCCATGCCCTGGTAAATTAATCAGTAAACCAATCTATTTACAAGACTACATGTACATGTAACAAAAATACGTGTGTAGAATAATTTCAAATCTTAAAATTAATTTACTCATATGGAACGTCAAATTAATATATATTCAAATATATGAACCTATCTTCACTCAGTTGTACCTATCTTCAAATCAATTATACCTATCTTTAAATAAATGAAATATAGGTTTCATTTTAATTATACCTTTAATTCGGTACCTGTAAAGTGCAAACGAAACAGAAACGAAACGAACTGAAACGAAACGAAATCTGCCGAAACGAAACGAAATTTACCGAAACGAAATCTACCGAAACGAAACGAAACCTACCGAAACGAAACGAAATCAAAACGAAACCCAACGAAAACCAAACAAAACTATAGAAAATTGTTTTTCAAATCAAGGTACATGTAAATAATTATATATGTGTAACTGCATGTGGACTTTTTCTACTTCAAATAAAGGACAAGGGACACGGGTAGAGACTCATATTTGGCCCCCGATTTTGGGAGTCTTTCAGAAAATGATCCAACAGTTTATCCATAAAAACTTGCTGTGCACCCCTTCCCCACAAAATGAGTATTGGTTCTAAGATTTAGAATATACAGAGGTCACAGTGAGGTAGGGAATAGGTTTATTTTCGAATTTTCTCATTTTTATGCAAATTTTGATCGATTTTTCCGAACACATTTGTTTCGGAAAACATAGACAAGCTTACTATACCAAATTTATATATTTTATACACTAGTATCAGATGCAGTTTATGTGTAAAAATCTCAGATAGGCAAGCTTGTGCTCTGTGTTTTCCGAAGAGAAAAGTATCTAAAAAAATATGATGAAATTCCACCAAAATTGAGAAAATTCTAGAAAATGTCCTACTTCTGCAACCATTTGTGGCTTCCATGAAAGATTTGAATCTAAATTAGTGCTTGTTTTAAAGTAAGCATCATTTTAACTACTAAACTACAAACACAACAATTTTATCATTGTTTTGATTTTTACATCAAAAAAGGGACCAGATTGGACTGTTACCTATCTTGTCCTTTATATATAGTTCAAGCACTTGTTAATATAAAATTTAAATACCGATCAATTATGCTCCCTTCTCTAATGATGTATTTATATGTATGAGCTGCTGCCAGCTGCAAATATGCGCGAGTATACTGTGCATGTATAATTTAAATATGTGCAGTATTTTCTAATTTTTATGTCTTATTTTTCATCCCTTCTTTATCTAGATACATCATATCTATCAAAATGATTATATGTGTTACATATGTGTTAGTTACATTGTAAATGTTCAAAACCAGAGACTTACGAGTATTTCATTCCGAGGTGTCGAGGGTCGACTAAAAACGTTCAAAACGATTTAATTGACAAGAAAAAAGTCTCTCGAAGTGAACGATGTCAATTTAAGTATGAGCTTGAAGCGGGGGTGCCTAAAATTGAGTTAGGTACCTAGTGTTAAAAACAAGTAGGCTACTCCTTTAAGAAAAAACCCC